ATCCAAGGAGAAAACAACTTTGGACTTTGCAACACATTCCTTATCACTAAGTTGCTCTATAATCTGACGGACACAAAGCAAAGCTATATTTGTTCAAGTTTTTATACTGTTCTTTGTTTTTCCTTTGATGTCTAAAATCATGTTAGTATTCCAATAAGAAAAATCCTAAAAAATACTTTTTTTTACCTAGTCACAGGTCACACCAAAACCAAAATATTTTTGCTTATTAAATAAAAAATTGAATACAATTTCATTATATTGCGAGATAACATCATATAATTTTTAACCCAACAATATCGACAGTGCAACATCCATTTCAACTTTACTTTTTAAGAAGTTTTTTATTTTATTTATGTGTTGATGATGACTTGATAAGAACATCTAGTAATAATAATAATAATAATAATAATATAGTTTTACCACCATTCGATAAAGTGCAGACTTTGTTATTTTTCATATAGTATGGACAAACTAATTTTTTATTTGTGCTATATCAGAAACCATTTTATACAAAAAAAAAACATATATAGTCCAACTCAAAGCAGTATTCATTTGAAAATTTTATTTTCTTGAGACATCATATGTTAGGTCCTAAATGACCATAATTAATTCAACTCGTCAATTAATAATTGAAGACAAACATCAATATTTCTATTTGGACTATAAGGATCAAGTATGACTGGAGATAAAAATATAAATTTGACCTCATATATATCTCTAAAGGCAAGTTATAAACTGCTAATATAACCACCTAACAAGAATAAGATGCAATAAATGATCTAAATAGATTGGACGAATCGATATACAAACCAAGATGCATGTTCTTTAGTTCCATTAAAAATAGAGGATACACCATTTTTAACCGCTTCCCAACTTCACCATTGAAAGGGTGCACTATGACTTCATCCACTACATCATATGCATGATGTCATGTCATGTCATGTCATGTACTTAACTGTCTTTAGATACATAAATAACATTTGTAGTTTAGAAGTGATTGAGAAGTATCTTAATTTTTATATATGACAAATTTCTTTTCTCTACCAATATTGGGTTTATAACAAGTTTTACATTTTAAAAAATTTGCATATTCACCGTGTACAACATGTAAAAGTTTAGGCATATGTCATTTTTTTATTTTAAGTTAAGGGGTTTCATCATGAATTTTACAGTGTAGATATCTTTTTTCAACCTATTCCCTTAAGGTAAAATGCTTTGTGTTCATTCGATGATACTATCATAACTGACCTTACGCAACTTATATTTTGACTTGATGGTAAATATTCTTGCAATGACTGATAATTTATTTTTATTTATATACCCATTCTATCATGATTTATTGAAATCTTTTAAAAGTTGAAAAAACCTAATTGCATCCACATTTAACTCTTTATCTGCACATAAACCTTCATCTAGATAACCATGATTTATTTCCATTACATTCATCATCATTCTCATATAACGATTATTATCATCATTTACAACTTCATACATATTTTTATAAGTAGATATTGATCCAACAATCCTTTTTATCATGATCTTCTAAGGAATATAAGATTCTCAACGTACAAACCAACATAAATATTTTTCTACAAACCTTTTTTCAAATATATATCAACACGTAATATGATTGGTGAAACTTTTTATGCTTACATTTTATACATGAATATCTAACTCCACCTCCAATAATATTCTTTAGATCTAAAAATACAAAATTAATAAAACCCTCAACCCCTTTATAATAATCTTTCATATACAACTCTTGAGGTGGATCTCGATACATCCAAAAATAACAATTTATTACTTAGAAAACCTATATAGAATATTGATGATGATATTTATTAATAATGTAATCATCAATTCAAAATTCAACTACAGTAATTAAAAATGAATTCACAATCTAATAATCAATTATTATTTGCACAAAAAATCAATGTTACGTAAAAATATGAAGTAAATAAATCAAATTAACAATAATTAATCAGTACCCAACTAATTATCTATCATTTATTCAATTTAAACTTATTCAATCTAAATTCATATTATTTGATTATTATCGATTCCATAAAAAAAATATTTTTTATAAAATTTTCAGCTCAATAATAAAATTGACAAAATATGATTGATATTCATTAAATAACCCATAATTTCTTCCAGTAGAACACACTTAATTTATAAAATTAAACTCGATTTTATCAAATTACAAACCAATTCATTTTTTTTAAACCCTAAACAAACTCTAATATACAGATCATACTTGAATATAACAAAATTCTCCATGAAAAGGTTAAAAATCACATAAATATACAAGCAAATTATACATACCAAACATAAATATCAATAAATTAACCTAAAATATAAATTGATAGGTTTGTTTATTTCATATAGGGAATATTTAGAAAAAAAATCCAATCAAGATAATAATGCTGACATTACATAGTATTAAGGTGGCCAGATTTAAGAGGATATGGCCTGGATTTATGGAACAATAGGGGGAGTTGCTAATTTTTTATAGTGAAAGAAAAATACAAAAAAAAGAAAAGAAAAGGGGATGAGGTTGTTATCAGTATAAGAATAAGAAGAAAAAAAAAGGATGAAGTTGTTATCGGTTATAACACTTTTATATTTATCAATTGAATTTTTCATAGGAACTGGAGATAAAATAATTCTCTTAGCAATTATATTACAAATAATAACATGTTATTTTATCAATAAAATCACTGATATATATTTTTTTATATATTAATTATTTTTATCATGTCAACAATTTCATTGTTAATTATGGACAAAACATTTCTTGTCGATAATTCAATTGGTTTTAGTGATAGATATTTTCCGTTACTATAGTCATTGGAAATGTTAAACAAAAAAATCTTTCATTACTAATTCCTTTGCTATTTGAATTTATTTTTCTAGTGATTATTACTCCTAATTCCTAACTATATCTATGAAAAAAAACAAATGCTAGGAAGATCAATGTTAAAGAATTGTTTTGAATATATTTATAAGCAATAATTTTAACTCAAAACTTATATTTTTTATTTTAAATCTGCTTTTAAATATAGACATCATAAACTTCTTAGGCCATGTTGGAGATTGTGATAAAAGTTATTTTTCAGAGTATTGTTTTTTAGAAATGCATTAAAATACTATATATTTTTATTTTTAAAAATTTATTTTTGACATTAGCATCAAAACGATTTAAAAATTAAAAAAAAAATAATTAATTTGAATCAAGAAAATTAAATTTTTTTAAAAAGCACAATTAGATTGCAAAAATAAACATTGTCTTATTCAAGCAAGATTTTTCATTTATATGCAATATAACTTAACTAAAAACTCTTTCTTATTTATACAACTTATTTTATAAATTTATTATGTTTGAGAAGGAAATAATGAAAAAAATATTGAGTTCTAAATGATTTATTTCAAGTTTTAAAAAATAAACTTTTTTTTGTATGCATTTATGAATAAAAATATTAATTTTATGTTTCTATCCAAGTGTTAGATAGTTTTTTAAAGGGTTCATGCGTTATTAAATTTGAGATGTCCTTACATAATCTAATGGTCAAATTTTATTAGAAAAAGAGTTTATTCTACATTATAATTATTAGTATATATGAAAATTTGAAATAAATGACCATAAGATAAAACTTTTGAACTTTTGAAAAGATAGGAAAATAAAATACTATATATGTAAAATATTTATTATTCTTTTCACTATCTTAATTTGTGTATTTTTATAGATGAATTCTTCACTAGAATTGGAGATTAATAAAAAAAAATTAAGTGAATTTCTGGGATGCATGTTGTTAACGTTCTATAGAATAGAAGGAAGAAATATAAAAGAGATAAAAATATATTTGGTTGAAAAAAAAAAGATGAAAACATAAAATAAATATGTTTTTAGAACAATTATAAAAGGATCCCTATCTTTTCAAAACAAAAAATATAAAGAAAAATGTTTGACTTATCTTTATTATTATTTTTTTTAATCTATTATTTTTATTTTTTAATCATGAAATAATAATTAGAAGCTATCAAGAGTTTGATTATTATTCTCTTGAGAAGAAGGTGAAGGAGTGTTTGGGAGTGAGATAAAATTATTTTTTCAAAATATTTTTTATTTAGAAATATATTAAAATAATATATTTTTTATTTTTTAAAATTTATTTTTAATGTTAATATATAAAAATAATTTAAAAATATAAAAAAATTAATTTTAACCTCCTTCAGGGAGACCGCAGTCAGAAGCGGGGCCAGGCCATAATAAAAAAGATTGGTTACTATTTCTAAACACCATTATGATTATAGTAAACTTTCAAAAAAAAGAAAAAGGGTTTAGAGTTGTTGATTCGTTATAAATGAGGTAGATGGGCACGCTACTTTCCCCATAATGGCATTCCCGTGATTATCTTTAAATTCATGGACATTTACCCACCACAATTTGAAAATTCCTCCTTTGCGTCTGCATTTAAGGTTAAAAAAATAAAAACACACCGGTCAGCTTTCATAAAGCCAACTGCAAAAAATGTATAAGCTTCCTTCTTCGTTAAACTCATCGCAACAAACAAATTAACGGCCTCTTCTTCGGCCTCCTCCTCCTTCTGTGCTTTCTCGCTTCCACCTCGCAATTTATTCTCACGCAGCAGCTCTGTTTCGAGCCATAACTGCATCGACGAGTCAACGTCTTCTTGACTCACCAGAACGAACGTGGTAAGTGATATTACCAGCACGAGTCAACGGCTTCTTTTTTTACAGACAGATTGTGCGTAGTTTTGTTTTGGAATACGCGTAGACATGTTGCGTTTTAGTTCAAGATCTGTTTGTTTTTATTTATTTATGAGAAAAAAAGTTTTATTTTGATGAAGAAATGAGAAAAATCAGTGAGTTTTTTTTTTTTGAAACTGAGGTATGATAATCTGTGATCAGTTGTAGAGAAGAGAGAGAAAGAGGAGATTGAGTACATGCGAGTGTACAGTAAAGTTCACGAGAAATTACGGGAAGTAGTTAAGGATGGTGATGAAAGAGAAGGATGAAGAGCTTACCCTGTTTCTGGAGATGCGAAGACGCGAGATAGAGAGGGAGAAAAACAATCTTCTCCTTAACAGTTCGGCCGATGAACCTCAAGCTCCTTTAGGTGATCCGACGTCGTTTTATGTTTGATCTTGAATTAATTGCTCTTCTTTGTTAAATAAGAATTTATTAATTTGAGATTTTGCGTGCAGGCTTAGGCAGTAATGATCTTTCACTGGTGTCTAATAAGATAACGGTGTCGTCTATTGTACCGCCGCCGCGAAAGACTGCTACGGAGAAGTTCTTGGATTCGGAGAATGATAAATCTGACTATGATTGGTAATTATGCTAAAGAAATTTTTTATTTTTTTTTGTACTTGTTACTTGTCATTTGGAGTAAAATTATGCCACTTAAATTGGGCATTATGTGAATTAGGAGTGCTAAGTTTATAATTGGTTTCATCTGTTGAAGAAGTTTTGTTTTTATAGTGTTTCCGCTGGAAAACATTTTTTGTAGTCAGACATTAAGAGGACTATCAAATTTAGTTTCTGGAACATCTGTAAATCTGTGGAGTTGATGCCATAAATTTTGTTGAGGAAATGGGTTTTGTACATGATTCATGTTATCATGGAAATGAAGAGCATTGGACATATTTCCCTGATTGACATTCAGTAAATTTGTATTTAATTGTTGTATCATGGTATAGCAAAATGAATGGTTCAACTCATAGGGGATCTCCTTTGTTCAGGCTTCTTACACCACCCGGAACCCCGCTTTTTACTTCCTTGGAGTTGGAATCGCAGAAAACTGCAATGAGTCAGATTGGGATGTCTAATGTTCGTCCCACTGCTCTTAAGTCAAGGGTAAGAAGCAGTTTGAGTTATGAAAATGCTTTCAATCCTCTGTGATCCCGTGCATTCACGAGCATGCCTTCATTAGCTTATGAAAACATGGTTTTAGTCTTCTATTTCTGGTATATGCTAACCTCAGCTTTCACTTTGTGCAGTTCTCTTTAACTGTGGTTATTGAAAAAATTTGCAGCATCCTTGTTATGCTATAGTTTGAAATTCTTGTTGCCGTGTGTTGCAGCTAATAAATATCCAGGAAGAACCTGCTTCAAGGACTCATGTGGGATCCAAGGGAACAACTTTGCAGTCAGGACTGAACTCCACAAGTGCTGGTAACAGGAGGTCCGCATCAGCTGGAGGACAAAGATCTGTTTCGAGACCTGCAACACCCACAGGGCGGCCCTCTTTATCTGCAACAGCTAAGCATTCAAGACCGTCTACACCCACATCACGGCCCACATTGTCTTCTACTAAGTCTGTTGCTCCTCCAGCGAGATCCTCAACTCCTACTAGAATTGCTGCACGCTCTTCGACGCCGACTGCTAGACCATCTCTTTCAGGTTCAAAGTCAGCTTCCAGATCAGCAACACCAATCCGCCAGTCATCAACCCCTTCAAGTCCACCTAGTGTGGCTGCTGCTCCTGGCCAGACTTCTTCAGCGACTAAGTCAGTTCCTGCCACTCTGAAAAATCCAGTGCCATCACGTGGCATTTCTCCATCATTAAAATCTAGGCCTTGGAAACCTGAAGAGATTCCTGGTTTCTCTCTTGATGCTCCACCAAACTTAAGGACATCATTGCTAGAAAGACCAGCTTCAGCCACCAGGGATAGGCCTGGAGGTCCAAGTGCTCGGCCAGCTTCAGCCACTCGGGAGAGGCCTGGAGGGCCCAGTGCTCGCCCAGCG